TCATTGCATTGAGCTGAGGAACTGTGCACCTGCAATTAATTCGTAACCCCTACGATTGAATAAAGCATTTGATTGTCTAAATAGAATTTAGAGGTAACAAAGTGATTATTTCTTTAGAACTCTGCCGGCATTGTAAAAAAAGAATGCTCAAATCTCGACCTCCATAAAAGCTGGATTACAAAAAATAGTTTTCTTGAAAAGAAAAGGAAAGATGGAAGGGAGGCGCAGATTTACTAGGTGAGACCCTGAGGAATGCGCAGTCCGAGGGTGATGGCGTCAGCGATTGACAGAGCTAGAACAAGCATATAAGCGGGTGTGGAGCAGAAGGTCTTGCGCTGGAAGACGTAGCTGTTGATGATGTTGAGGATGAAACCGATTAGGCAGATGCAGGGTTGCACGTAGACGTAACCAATGGCCGAGACACGCAGACTTCGCTGCACGTCGGGGTGCTGTAGGTAGGCCCTTAGTGCTGCCTCATTGCCTCTAGAAGTGCCCGCCATGCCTTCTACAATGCTACTAATGGCAAAGCATGAAAACGTTATGTCTGCCTTAATGCATTCTCTCCTCCTCCTCCTCCTCCTCCTCCTCCTCACTCCCAACTTTTATGATCACAGCTTAGGGATGGGTAATATGATCAAATCGTGGTGTGGGCACAACGCACGTAAAAACCTTTTGTACGTAAGTAATGTTGGTAATACATAAAGAGCTTAATTTGTAGTTCGTATGTATTAAAAACTGTGCAGAAAACTTATTGTTAAACTTTCTGATAGTCTCCTAACTGTCCATATCAACAGCAATATATCATCAAAGGACTTATTCTGCATTGTATTCAATTTTACAAAACACAAATGTGATTGGGAGGAGGGTGGACATTTGTGTGGCCAGTCTTTTAATGGCCGTAGCGCCACGGTTCTCGGGCTTTATCATTTTCAACATCTGACCGGTGTTGAGAGAACTGATGAGCTTTGTATATGTCCTCGCCCCCGTAAGCGGCCATGAGGACAAGCGTGGGAAGATTCTCAGCCATTTAACCGCATTTTGCCAAAGGTACTCAAATTTATTTCAAATCCTAAGTTGGTTTTTATGGTTGCAATCTTCAGGATTATAAGATGTGCATTGGACTGGAGAGTCCCGACTCGAACACTTGATACTCGTTAAATTAAGGAGCCACCTCTTTTTTACTACAATGCAATGGCTAATTGAAGGCAGAAGCTTATAACTACAAGGAGCAGTCCTTTTGGAACTGCGCTTCAATGCAAAAAGAAATGAAATTTTACCTGGTGAGTAAATGGAATTCTTGAGGTTGTGAGAGCCCATTATTAACTGGACATCCCAAAATTTGCACCACCCCATTAGGTTGAGTGATGGTGGTGGAGGTTTGACTATCAACTATGCATTCTTTCTGGGCTTAAAAGTGTCCTTACAGCAGCCCGAAATAATGAAGAGCGCTCATTGATGCTGTTGTGCCAGAGCCGTAGTGAATTTTATTGGTGGAATAAATCTTGAATGCTCTGGTAAGCCAGTCGAGACCAAAAGGAGCACACGCACTTTTGTTGCGGTCCTTCGAATCGGCCATTTTAAGGTGGCCACCCACGCAATCGTCACTTCTTTCACCATAATGCTATTCTCCACTTTAGCGAATGAAAATTAAATTTGTACTACGCATTTATTGTTAGCATCCAAGATCAAAGCTCTGGATTCCTGTTTTGGGCGCGGTAGGAACATCGAAAGAGGCAACACCATCATTACTCTTTCTACACGATGAATGAGCATAATTAATTAAAGTTGAGTTTTGAGGCTTAGAGACGAAGATGGTTGAGTGGGAACAATCTGTAGCGTGGGACAGAAAAGTATTTGTGGTTGATAGTTTACTTTATGTGGCAATGAATACAGGAGACTACAAAAAATCGACAGTAAAATCACTGGCTTGGCGATAAAGTGGAGTCGTAATTATAGGCCGTGACAGCACCGTATCATCCATTGGAAACGATTTAGAAAGGCAATTGCTCTTCAAAGGTGGCTCATGCATTGGGGTCACCTAGGGCAGTAAGTATGCTTCCGATTTGGAGGCTGAGAACTAAGTTAACTAGTTTGGAACGAGTCTAAGAGATAAAGCTTGATTTGGATCTATTTTTGCATTTATCCTGAGGGTAAGTTAAGCTGCCACAAGTGGACCTGGAGAATTTGGTGTTCTAAGAGAAGTAGAACAGAAAGAAGTCTTTGTGCATGACATTGAGTTTTATCAGTAGATAAGCAGGAAGGTCTTTAAAAGCAACTTGTACTGGGCAAAAATAACAAAATCTGTAATGTTTGTGATAAAAAAGTGGAACTATAGTCTATGAACGTGGAGCGGAAAGGCTACATGGTCTGACCGTTGAAAATTGAAGTAAGGCATCATATACTTTGTAGAGATGTTAAAAAGCTTCGCCTCCTCTTACATTTTACCAAAAGAAGTCGTTTACTAACTTACCATAAACGTAAAGCATAGCTCTTTTGAGTGTTCAAAGATGTGAGTCTGCGTGGAGGGCGTTTAAGCAGCTCGTGCAGGCACAGCCAATCAGCGCTCCGCGCCGTCCCATCAGACCAATGGAGGCTTAGTCGAAGCAGACATTCACTTTCTGAACTATTGCAAATAATACTTCCAGGAATAATGCCGATTTCCCCCAAAGCTCTCCAATTGGCGGCGCGTTTCTATTCCATTGAGCAAAGTTAGCACATGTCCGAAATGCAACTTCTAGTGTTTCAAGAGTGCCCTATAAAATTAGGTTTTTGAGGTTTGGAGACGACTGTTTAATCGCGCTGTTGCACAGTTCACATCTCTCATGACTAGTTTGCTCTGTCAGCTGAATGTTTGGCCTCCAGCAGACCGGGAAAGAGAGCGTTGGCGAAAGCTAAAATGCTAGCACAGAAGTACATTTCGCAAATTTATTAAAAATAATTACCTTCAACAAGATTAATGTGTGGCTTTGCTTTAGGAGTTGCGTGAATCAGTGAAAGTCACTGATGTGCTCTGTGAATTCAAAAGCAACTTTCGTGTTAGGCAAGGAGTCTAAGCCATGGTGACTTAGTTTTAACCATGATAAAAGCCAATTTTAAAGGTATCATTAAGAATTTATTTGCAAACTACCTGAGTTACAGCAATGCCCTGTTTATCTTTGTGAAAAAATTATACCTCAGAGGTGATATCTAACGCTGTAGATACATAGGTACGAATCCCAATTAGTTAAAAACACTACTCACATCACAATCGTTATTTTGTAATTTTGATTTAAGACCGAATTTCCAGTTTTATGATACCCCGGGGAAAGGTAATTCGTTTTCAGCCAAAGTCCGTTTTAGTACCAATCACTGACCACTCACAAGCATTCAAATATTATTTGTGTATGCTATCGAGGCAGATAAATTGTTTACTGATTTCGGAATCGGCCTATCCGTCTCTCTTGCCATCTCGTTAGAGGAACTCTCAATGACCAGCGATTCGGACTGAGCACGAAGTCATCTGACTCGGAGTCCATCGTTGATCTGCTAAGGGCCTTCTTTAGATGCGCACACAAGGAGTGCACCAAGTGACTTGGACAGCGAATGGAGGCAATTTTTTTCTTCTTGTCTATATAAAATAAGCGCCCTCACTTCTGGGATGTAGGGAAGTTGTGCCTGTAGGAATTAGCAGCGCACATATGCCTACCGGATGCCGAATTTGGTTCTATGAACATTGAAACACAATTGGTATCAAGTGTCCACTTTGTTACATTACTGAATGGTTGAATTTCCGATCCTCAGCTCTTTCGGTTGTAGCGAGAATTTGCTTGAACATGCAAAATTATTTTGCCTTCTTGACTTACAATATAGAACAGCCAAGTTTACAACGGGCCATACATTAAATTGTGGCACTGTTCAACTTCACTTCTTCTGGAATCTTTAAAGAGTACACTTAAAAATGCGTTTAAGGAAGAACGGAAATGGCACAGCATATCTACCGGTGCAAAAAACCATCAACAATCTTACTTCACAAATGTACTCCCGCTTGGATGGGAAACGTGACGGCTACGTATTGTCTGGTGTAGCGCTGGAAAGTTCTAATGTAAACGTGGATAGGTGGTGGCGTGGTTTTGGCGCAACCAATCAACGCGGAAGCCAAAGTAGGCGGATGACACCGGAGGGTGGCCTCATCCTGTGCAAATGCACGGAGAACACACGGGTAAATTTTGCACTGATCTTAGGGGAGAAACAGGTGCCTAAATCAAGCAGCAATAAGCAAAGACTGAAGCTTTCCTGATTTGTTAATGCAAACTTGAGTTATTTATTAGAGTATGAAGTGTAGTTTGCAATATCTTAATCAGGTAATGAAATTTCATTTGCCTTAGTGGAACACAAAAGCTTGATGAATGGTTGCAAATCAGGGATAGCAAGTGTAAATTAAGCTGTTAGCTTTTTGATTAATTTGGGTCCATTAGCAGGACTTGAGGAAGAAAGACCACGTTTGTGTGGAACATGGCCGCACGAGGGTGCACTATGAAAATGATGACTAGACAGAGGAGAGCCATGCTTTTTTGGTGGATTCGTGATAACTACATAGTTTTCCCGCAATGACCTTAGGTAAAAGTGTGGGCAAACAGAGGTGGCATTTTTAAACCGAGGTGTTGGTCAGCGGGAGAATACAAACTGCCTCCCGCCCTTAAGATTCGAGTAGCATTGAGCAAAGCGACCAACCATTTTGATTCACTCATTGCTACCAAGCGAGCTGGAGTCTCTCGTTTGCCAAACCAACATAAATACAAAAAAGCCCTGATATTGCGGTTGCCTCTATTTGGACTTCAAAGGGCATTTTGCTGACTTCTCTGGCTGGAGTTGGGCTCAAAATAAATTAGACTGAAAATGTGCTTTTAGCAACCTCAGCATTCAGACACAAATTTATGCCAATTACCCAGTCTACCAACGATTATAAAAGTGAAACTTTAGGAAATCGTAAATGATGCCACATAAACTCGTAAATGACCATTTGCATGCAAAAACATTGGTAAATATGGATGTGGTTGCATATATTTTTTCCGATTTGTAAGAACTTCTCTTTGCAACATTCCTCCCTCTCTGTCTATGGAAAATTTCATCACCAAATGTCACGCATTGACAATTTTTATAATTGCAGGCACATTTCAGTCTTTGAGTTGCACCAAGAGAGCCTTCACCACCTCTTCCATACGGTAGTAACGCAGCAGAGCGATGCAGAACCCTCCCATCTAAATGTCAAGGCATTTCCAAATATGCTCGGAAAAGTCCGCCAAATGGAACGTCTGCTATGGAGACTTGAGGTGAAGTCAATCATTTGCCGGAAATGCTTCACTCATGAGCCTCTATGACAGCGATTCAACAAACATCTCATTTGCCGCGTAAAGTAAATTGTGTGGGAAATTTTAAACGAGGCGTGAGGAACGTGCTTAAATTTGTCGAACTAATAGGAACTAATTTTAATGCTATTAGTTTATATCATGTACCAGATCTC